GCTTTTTGGGACACATTCCTGGCAGTCAGCTAGGGTTATTCACAGATAAGGTGGCAGGAAGGCTTGGTTCAGTCCCTGGGCCGCCCATCGCCAGAGACCCCCCTACTCTAGGAAGCTCTCCCAGATAGTTCAGGTCAGGGGCTTGTGTCCACAATTCTCTGGCTTGAGCCTGTACTCAAGGGGTCCTTGGGGTCACTCCACACAACACACACCTGCTGCCATACCCCCCCCAGGCAACACCTCGTGGCCACAGTGGGGGGCTCGGGGGTGTGCAGGGGCAGGCAGGCGTGTGACACATGATCCAAGCCTGAGTTGCAGGCTCGCCCCGGCCCACAGCCAAAGAGAGCGGGAGAGGAAGAGAGAGTGTCTGCAAACAGGACAGCTGCCAGGAAGGGGCCAAGAGGCGGAAGGTGCGAAGGAGAGAGGCAGGGCAGCCACCGCGGTGCCACATGATCTTCCTGGCCCTGGTGCCACAAACCACGAGCACACAATGCAGATTCCATGGCCACACACAGAGAGAGGTACCTTCAGACCCTCACAGCCCACACACACAGGCCCGGGCGCTCATGGACACAACATGCACAAAGTCAGGTTATCACCCAGGCGTCATGAGACACGGGCCAACCCCGCTCCCTCACACACTCACACACCCTCACGCTCACATGCACACCTCACGCCTGTGTGTTGTAGAGTTCCTTAATAGACTCTCTGAGGAGCGCAGTTTGCATTCCAGGGATACTACACACTTGGTTTGGTAAAGGAAAAGCATTCTTAGAAGTAAATGGCTGCCCGCTCCTGCTCAGATCTGCTCTCGGGAACCTTCTGCAGGACAGTGCACCAGCACAGTCAGGCACGCGACCTCCCGCTCTGTCTCTGTCTCTCTCTCTGTCTGTCTCTCCATCTCTCTTTCTCTCCCCCGTCTCTCTCCATCTCTCTCTTTCCCTTTCCATCTCTCTCTTCTCTCCATCTTTTTCTTTCTCCCTGTCTCTCCCCATCTCTATCTCCTTCTCTGTCTCTCTCCATCTCACTCTCTCCATCTCCCTGTCTCCACATCTCTCTCTGTCTCCCTCCCTCTCTCTGTCTCCCTCCCCATCTCTGTGTCCCTCTCTGTCTCTCTCCATCTCTTTTTCTCCCCCATCTCTGTCTCTCTCCATCTTTCTCTCCCCCATCTCTCTATCTCCCTCTCTGTCTCTCTCCATCTCTCTGTCTGTCTCCCCATCTCTCTCCCTGTCTCCCTCTCTCTCTCTCTCTCTACTCCCCAACATGCTCTCTGATGCACACGTGTGCACTGTCCTCCCTCCCAAGCCAACAGACTCACAGCATCCCAGGACCCACGTGTAGATGGACTTTATTCACAGATAGTGGCTGGGGCGAGAGAAGGCAGGGGCACATCACAGATCGGGTGGTGCCCCCACATCAGGCAGAAGAGAGGCCAGGAGTCAGGAGGGAGGGAAAACCAGCGAAGGGGAAGGAGAGAGGCCCAGGCAGGAGGATGGGGATGGAGAGCCTGGGATGCACACTGAGGGTAGGCTGCGCCAAACCCGACAGGCTCTTTTATTTAATAGACGTGGACTGCCCCCTCTATGGGCCAGCACGGCTCTGAATATGTGGGGTCTATCGGGAGCAGGATGGGGAAAGGCCCCTGCCCTTCACAAAATCCATCATATGGTCAAAGAAGATGCATGTCACAGAAAAGAAGGTACACAGAGCAGAGCAAGGGACTAGGGACACAGAGTCAGGGCAGGTTGGGATGCAGAGTCACATGGGTGGGGATGAGGGAACTGCAGAAGAGGGAGGCAGTGAGCATTGAAGACGTGTGGAGGGCCAGGCAAGGTGGCTCACGCTTGTAATCCCAACACTTTCGGAGGCTGAGGAGGAAGGATTGCTTGAGGCCAGGAGTCTGAGACCCCATCTAAAAAAAAAAATTGGCTGGTCTCAGTGGCTCAGCCTGTAATCCCAGAACTTTGGGAGGCCGAGGCAAGTGGATTGCCTGAGCCCACGGGTTCAAGACCAGCCCAGGCAACTTGGCAAGATCCTATCTCTACAATAAATAAAAATTAGCCAGGCGAGGTAGCACACGCCTGTAGTTCTGGCTACTTGAACAACTGAGGTGAAAGGATCCCTGGAGCCTAGCAAGTCGACGCTGGGGTGGCTGTGAGAATGCCACTGCATTCCAGCCTGGGTGATGGAATGAGACGTCAACTCAAACAAACAAACAAAAAAACTAAGAAACTTAGGCAGGCATAGTGATACCTGTAGTCCCAGCCACTCAGGAGGCTGAGGTGGGAGAGTCAGTTGAGTCCAGGAGTTGGAGGCTGCAGTGAGCTATGATTGCATCACTGCTCTTCATCCTGGGCAACAAAGCAAGATCCTGTCTAAAAAAAACCAAACAGACTGGGCACAGTGGCTCACACTTGTCATCCCAGTACTTTGGGAGACTGAGTTGGGATGATCGCTTGAGCCCAGGAGTTCAAGACCAGCCTGGGCAACATAGCAAGACCCTTTTTCTGCAAAAAAAAAAATTATCCAGATGTGGTGGTGCACACCTGTAGTTCCAGCTTCTCGGGAGGCTGAGGCAGGAGGATTGCTTGAGCCCCAGAGGTCGAGGGTACAGTGAGCTGTGATCGTGCCACTGCACTCCAGCCTGGGCAACAGAGTAAGACCTCAACTCAAAAAAAAACCAAAACAAAAACGCCCTAAGCTGTTCAGGCGGTGAGGGTATAGCTTAGGGCATCCCATGCCAAGGGCATAGCAGGAGCACAGGCCCTGGGGCAGGTGCAGACAGACACGGACAGACATGGAGACCTCAGAGACCCCTGCAGACCACCGGCAGGCTCCAGTCTGCAGATGGAGGATGGGAGGACATAGAAGGACAGTCACGGGACACAGAGTTGAAAACACCTGGGGGAGGCCCCTGAAGCCACGGGCGCATGCTGAGGCCTCAGGACGAGGCCAGCCTCCCTTCGGAGTCCCGCAGCCACTCACTGCCGGCCCTCCTCTTCCGCCTGTCCCACCACTCCAGCCTCGCCCTCCCACTGCCTCCAGGGCCGCCCCCAGGTAGCCCCTGATGGAGCCCACAGGGCTCCTCCTTCGGGGATGAGGTTCCAGCAGCCCCCACAGGAGGGCATCCGCCGCGGGGGCCAGGCCGTACCAGGGCTGAGGACGGTCCTGGGGCTGGCCCGAGGCCTGCCAGATGACGAAGTCCTCGTAGAAGGGGTCAGCCTCGGCCAGGGGCTGGTCCCAGGGGAAGTAGCCGGTGAGGAGGCAGAAGACCAGGACCCCCAGGGCCCAGGCGTCCAGGGCAGGCTGAATGGGCAGGCCCTCGGGGAGGGGTGGGGGCGCGCACAGCTCGGGGGCTGTGTAGGGGATGGGCGGCCCGGTCAGGCGGAGTAGGGTCCCGCGGGGCCGTGTGTGGCCGAAGTCGGTCAACTTGACACGCTGGCAGTCCGGGTCACACACCAGCACATTCTCCGGCTTCACGTCCCGGTACACCAGGCCGTGGGCGTGAATGTGTTCCAGGGCCGAGGCCAGCTGGGCAGCGCAACGCTGGACGGCTGGTGGCGGGAGGCCCACCTGCAGGAAGAGACATCAGGGTCCATTGCCTCCCAGGGTGAGGACCAGTGAGGCCTCGTGTGACCTGTGAGGCCTGTGAGTTCAGTGAGGCCTAGTGTGACCTTTGAGGCCTGTGAGTCCAGTGGAGCCTAGTGTGACCCACGAGGCCTATGAATCCAGTGAGGCCTAGTGTGACCCATGAGGCCTGTGAGTCCAGTGAGGCCTAATGTGACCCATGAGGCCTGTGAGTCCAGTGGAGCCTAATGTGGCCCTTGACCCCTGTGAGTCCAGTGAGGCCTAGTGTGACCCTATGAGTCCAGTTTGGCCTAATGTGACCCTTTAGTCCTGTGAGGCCTAGTGTGACCCATGAGGCCTGTGAGTCTCAGTGAGGCCTAGTGTGACCCATGAGGCCTGTGAGTCCCAATGAAGCCTAGTGTGACCTTTGAGGCCTGTGAGTCCCAGTGAGACCTAGTGTGACCTGTGAGGCCTGTAAGTCCAGTGAGGCCTAGTGTGACCCATGAGGCCTGTGAGTCCAGTGGAGCCTAATGTGACCCTTGACCCCTGTGAGTCCAGTGAGGCCTAGTGTGACTCTATGAGTCCAGTTTGGCCTAATGTGACCCTTTAGTCCTGTGAGGCCTAGTGTGACCCATGAGGCCTCTGAGTCCAGTGAGGCCTATGAGTCCAGTGAGACCTGTGAGTCCAAGTGAAGCCTTGTGTGACTCTTGAACCCTGTGAGTCCAGTTTGGCCTAGTGTGACCCTTTATTCCTGTGAGTCCCAGTGAGGCCTAGTGTGGCCTTTGAGGCCTGTGAGTCCAGTGAGGCCTAGTGTGACTCTATGAGTCCAGTTTGGCCTAATGTGCCCCTTTAGTCCTGTGAGGCCTAGTGTGACCCATGAGGCCTGTGAATCCCAGTGAGGCCTAGTGTGACCTTTGAGGCCTGTGAGTCCAGTGAGGCCTAGTGTGACCTGTGAGGCCTATGAGTCCAGTGAGGCCTAGTGTGACTCTTGAACCCTATGAGTCTAGTGAGGACTCGTGTGACTCTATGAGTCCAATTTGCCTAGTGTGACTCTTTGAAGTCTGTGAGTCCAGTGAGGCCTACTCTGACCTGGTGAAGCCCAGTGTGACCCCGTGATTCCTGGTGAATGTAACAGGATATCTTGCTAGTTTGTGATGTCAACAAACTCCCAGCAGGCCTAACAATTCCCCAAGTCCTGTGGGCCCGCTCGGGTGTCCGGAGGCGTGAACGTGACCCCTGTGGCCCAGGCTACTCAGGGGCATTTCCGAGAGGCGGGTGCGGCCCTGGGAGCTGGCTTGGCGTCTGCCCACCCACCTTGGGCTGGATGAAGGCCATGAGGTCCCCGTGCAAGACGGGCTCCGTCAGGAAGCTGTAGGAGTCGGCGGACTCGATGCCGATGCCATAGGTGGCCACGATGGCTGAGTGTGTGCCCAGCGAGAGGCCCACGCAGAACTCATACAGGAAGCCTCGCAGGGAAGTGGGGGGCTTCGGGAGCTGCTTCAGAGCCATGGGTGTGCCTGGGGGCAGGGACAGGCATCGAGGTGAGCCGGAGCCAGGGTCTCCTGGGCCAGCTCCCTGCTCCCCTGTGGTCACCTTCCTGGCCCTTGGCTTGGACTCCACCCGGCCGCCCCACAGAGTCCACCCTGACGGCGAGGCCACCAAAGTGTTGCCGGAGGGCTAATCATGACAGTACTGGGTCCGAGCAGGTGGAGGGATCCATGACTTTCCTCCGGGCACCTCATTTGGCCCCTCAGGACAGAAACCCATGTTTGAGGCAAACAGGATTTTTGTTTTGGTCTTTTTGGAGACAGGGTCTCGCTCTGTTGCCCAGGCTGGAGTGCAGTGGCAGGATCATGGCTCACTCTAGCCTCGACCTCCTGGCCTCAAGTGATCCACCAGCAACAGCCTCCGGCCTCAAGGAATCCTCCCACCTCAAGGGATCCTCCTGCCTCAGCCTCCCAGCTGCCGGGATTGCAGGAGTGAGCTACCAAGCCTTCTGGAAAAGGCATTTTTGAGGCAACTGAGGAAAAGATGACCTGTCTTGGGTGATGACCTGTCCAAATAAGGTATTATGATCCTAGCACTTTGGGAGGCCGAGGTGGGAGGGTTGGTTGAGTCCAGGAGTTCAAGACCAACCTGGGCAGCATACCAAGACCCCGTCTCTACAAAAAAAAAATTAAAAATTAGCTGGTGTGCTGGTGCATGCCTGTAGTCACAGCTGCTTGGGAAGCTGAGATGGGAGGATCGCTTGAACCCAGGAGTTCAAGGCTGCAGTGAGCTATGATTCCACCCCTGCACTCCAGCTTGGATGACAGAGGAAGACCTTGTCTCTACCAAAAAAAAAAAGGTGGGGGGGCTGAGCATTGTGGCTCATGCCTGTTATTCCAGCACTTTGGGAGGTAGAGGTGAGAGGATTGCCTGAGCCCACGGGATCAAGACCAGCCTGGGCAACTTGGTGAGACCTCATCTCTACAATAAATAAAAAAATTAGCCAGGCATGGTGGTTCATGCCTGGAGTTCCAGCTACTTGGAAGGCAGAGATAGAAGGGTCACCTGAGCCCAACAGGTCAAGGTTGCAGTGGCCATGAGCATGCCACTGCCCTCCAGCCTGGGAGTGAGACTCTGATTCAAAAAACAAAACAAAAACAAATGAGAGTTATGAATTTTGTCATGTGTGGAAATGACTTCCTAGAATGTACACTCCTTGAAGGCAGGGATTCCAAATTCTTTTATTCCTTGGCCACCAGCTGCCAATGTACAATCTTGCCCATCACGAGTCTGCATGACCCAGGTAGGCTCCCTTCTCACCTAAAACACCAACCGTCCCCTTCTGCTTCCTGGCCAGTTGCAGTAGCGTCTCTCCTGCATGACCACAATGCCCCGGGACCACCCAATGGCACGTGCCACCCTCTGTGGTGATGATCTCTGTCCCTCTGTGCTTCCTGTGATATTGTGAGTTTCTCAATGACAGTTACATCTTCAAGTCCCCAGGTCACCCAGCCCAGGGGCAGGCACCCAGGAAGCCTCGAGAGGCATGTTCTATGGAACCTGCATGGACAAGGTCTCGTCTACAATGCCCCTCTTCCCATTACTCCAGGCACATGAGGACCCAGGCCGGGATTTCTCTCTTTGTATCTCTCTCTGTTATGAGTGGAACTGTCCCCACAAATACCCACATATTGACCTCCAGGACTGCAGAGTGTGACTGTATTTGGAGACTGGGTCTTCAGTGAGGTAAAATGGGGTCCCTAGGTAGTGGGCCTGACAACCTGACCAGTGTCCCAATGAGAAGAGATTAGGACACAGACACACAGAGGGTCGACCCTGTGAGGACACAGGAGAAGACACCATCTGCAAGCCAAAGACAAAAACCAACCATGTGACACCTTTTTTGTTTGTTTGTTTGTTCGTTTGTTTTGAGTCGGAGTCTCATTCTGTCTCCAGGTTGGAGTGCAGTGGCACAAGCATGGCTCACCAAAGCCTCAACCTCCTGGGCTCAGGTGATCCTCCCACCTCAGCCTACCACAATGCCGGGATGACAGACCGGAGCTGCTGTGCCTGGCCTGCTGCCAACGCCTTGATCTCGACCTTCGTTCCAGCCTTCAGAGCTGCAAGGAAATACATCTCTGTCATTGAAGACCTCTGACCATGGTGCTTTTTTCTGGCAGCTGGAGCTGACTCACATGGGCTGTCCTCATTCATGCTGGGGTCTCCTTGAAAGCAGGGAGTGGGCTGGGCTCGGTGGCTCAGCCTGTAATCCCAGCGCTTTGGGACCGAGGCTAGTGGATTGCCTGAGCCTGTGGGTTTGAGACCTCGTCTCTGCAATAAATCAAAAATTAGCCGGGCGTGGTAGCGCACGCCTGTAATTCTGGCTACTCGGAAGGCTGAGGCGGAAGCATGGCTGGAGCCCAGCAGGTCGAGGCTTCGGTGGCCGGGAGCGGCCACTGCACTCCAGTCTGGAGTACAGACTCCAACTGGAAAAAAAAAGAAAGCAGGGACTGGTCCTGATTCGTCTCTGGGCCTCCTGACCCACTCAGCACAGGGCTGGCCTTGGAGGATGTACCCTGAACTGAGAATGACTCCAGGCGTCACCCTGTTCCCTGGAGGGATGGAGGCCATGCACATGCCCGGCAGGAAGGTGCTGGAGGTGGGGCAAGCTGTCCTGCACACCTCTGTGCGTCAACCTTGCTGGGTGCTGGCAAGCAGCATCCCTCTGAATCAGCTCACAGTGACCACCAAAGCAGCTGGCATGTGAGAACCTCGAGGTGGGGACCGGCTCACAGCACTGTACCCACCAGCTAGATCAACCCTGCTTTCAAGTAGGAATCGTTACCCACCTATTCCTAGAAGGAGGCTGAGACTCAGAGAGGTCAAGGAAGTACCCCAAATCACACAGATTGGCAGGGGTGGAAGCAAAATTTGGTTTGGGGCTCCCAGACTCCCCAGCCTGGGTCACCATCCCCCCGGGCCCACACCCCACCCCCTGCAGAATCCCACCACCTCCATCCCTGAGAGCCGGTACCTTTCTGACGATGGGTGACCAGGAGAACGCGGCCGAAGCGGCCTTGGCCCAGGGGACGCACTTCCTGGTAGAGCTCGTCTACCTCGGCTTGGACCAGGGTCTGGGCGCTCAGAGTCATCATGTCCTCCAGCGCCAGGGCAGCCTCCTGGCCCTGCTGCAGCTCCTCCAAAGTCAGGCCCCCCAGACCCACCTCTGCCTCATCCTCAGCTGCCTTCATCTCCACTGGCTGCTCCTCAGACTGTCTCCCTGGCATTGCTGCAAGGACAGGCACAGCCAGGTCAGGCTCAGGTCCTGCCAGGCCCAAGGGCAGAGGGATTGGGGCCTGGACTCCCGGGTCTGAGGGAGGAGGGGCCAGGGGTCTGTACTCCCACGTCTCACGGAGGGTGGGCTGGTCCTGGACTCCTGGGTCTGAGGGAGGAGGGGCTGGAGGACTGGACTCCTGGTCTGAGGGAGGAGAACTGGGGGCCTGGGCTCTCAGGTCTGAGGGAGGAGGGGTTGGGGGTCTGGACTCCTGGTCTGAGGGAATAGGGCTGGGGGCTCACTGCCACTTTTCATTGTGACTCAGTCTCCCTCCTGGTAGAGGCCGCAGAAGGGCAAGGAGACCAGTCTGGTGTGAGGTAAGTTCAAGCTCGAGGTCACAGATGTCCCCGCCCCCAAATCCCTGGCCACCCGAGGACCTGAGGATGAAAGATGAACCAGATAACTGAGACACCCCCAACCTTGTTTCCAAAGCAAACAGACTTGGGCCCTGGGGATGGATGAGTAGCCTCTGTCCCCTAAGAGCAAACAGGTGCTCTCAGCCCAGAGCCTGGGAGGGTGGGGCTGCGTGAGAGGGCCTGGGACCCTGGCCCTGCAGGGTGCAAGCACTTGGGGTCATCCTCAAGCCAGATCAGGCCTGAGGTCCACCTGTCATGGCACACCCACCTCCCTCACACTCAGACCCCAGCCCCGCCTCCCCTCAGGCCCACACCTCAACCCCGCCTCCTCCCTCAGACCCAGAACCCCAACCTGTCTCCTCCCTCAGACCCAGACCCCCAGCCTGCCTCCTCCCTCAGTCCCAGACCCCCAGCCTGCCTCCTCCCTCAGATCTAGACCACAGTCCACTTCCTCCCTTAGACCCAGACCCCAGCCCACCTCCTCCTTAGACCCAGACCCCAGCCCTGCCTCTTCTCTCAGACCTAGACACCCCCAAGCCCTGCTTCCTCCCTCAGACCCAGGAGTCCAGGCCCCAGTCACCCCTCTCCTGGAACCTTATACGACTCACTCGACCGAGGATCCCCAGACCTGCAACCACTCTACAGGCCACAGGTGCAGTCCGGGCTCCACTGAGGGACACAGGACGCTGGCCACCCAACCGGGGTCACTCTCAGGTGCTGCCTGCCTAGGCCGTGCCACCCTGCCCTCCTCCCGACCTGGGCTTGGACCTCCAGGCCTCACCTTCTACAAGGCTCGCTTGACCCTTCAGCTTCCTGCTGTGGTCAGTACCCAGCACTCAGGGCCCAACCCAGCAGAGGCCTGCCCAGGGGCAAGACCCCGCCCCCACTTGGGGGTCGTAAGGCCCCGCCTCTGGCCCCACCCCAGCCCCACCCCTTTTGCCCCCCCTAGGAACAGAGCGACATCTTGCGCTGACTCCTGGAACTGGTTGTAGTCAGACAAATACCCTGACCCAGTACTTCAGCCTCCTCCCTCAGACACAGGGGCCCAGGACCCAATTCCTCCTCCCTCAGACCCAGGTTGCAGGCCCCCAACCCCCCTCCCTCTGACCCGATGGTCCAGCCCCAGCCCCTTCCTCCCTCAGACCCAGGAGTCCATGCCCCCAGTCCTCCTTCCTCAGACCCAGGGGTCCAGGCCCAGCCCCTCCTCCCTCAGACCCACTAATCCAGTCCCCTTGTCCCTCCTCCCTCAGACTAGGAGTCCAGGCCCCCAGCCTTCCTCCCTCAGACCCATGAGTCCAGGTCTCCAGGCCCCCAGCCCCTCCTCCCTCAGACCCAGGAGTCCATGCCCCCAGCCCCTCCCCCTCTGACCTTGGAGTCCAGGCCCCCAGCCTCTCTGCCCTCAGACCCAGTAGTCCAGGTCCCTAGTCCCTTCTCCCTCAGACCAGGAGTCCAGGTCCCCAGCCTTCCTCCTCGAGACCCAGGAGTCCAGGTCTCCAGCCCCTTCTCCCTCAGACCTGGGAGTTCATGCCCCCAGCCTCTCTCCCCTCTGAACTTGGAGTCCGTTCCCCCAGCCCCTCCCCCCGACCTTGGAGTCCAGGCCCCCAGCCTCTCCTCCGCCAGACCCAGGAGTCCAGGCTCCCAGCTCCTCCCCACTCTGACCTCAGAGTCCAGGTCCCCAGACCCTCCTCCTTCAGACCCATGGGCTCCCTGTGGAGAATGAAATCATCTCTGACCTCACCCCCCCTCCATCAATGCCCCATCGGCAGGTCCGACCCAAGAGTTTGGAGAGGGGTGTCTAGGGGGATCAGACACTGGGGTCCTGTTTGGGGAAAAAATGAGACAGCGAGATTCCAGAGCGATGCAGTGAGGGATGACCTCAGACTTGGGGGAACAGGAAGCAGGTGGTGGAGCAACTGGGAAGAACGGGGCCCCGAGGGGCCGGGGGAGGGCTGAGTTCTGTGCCTGAGAACTCCAAATAGGGGGGAAGTTAAGCTCTGGGCCCTGGGTCTAAGGGAGGAGGGGCTGGGGTCTGGACTCCTGGGTCAGAGGGAGGAGGGGCTGGGGACCCAGACTCCCAGGTCTGAAAGGAGGGCTGGGGGCTTGAACTCCTGGGTCTGAGTAAGGAGGGACTGGGGGCTTGGACACCTGGGTCTGAGGCAGGAGGAACTGAGGGAGGAGGCACTGGGGTCTAGATTCCTGGGTCTGAGGGAGGAGGCGCTGAGGGCCTCTCGATTCCAGAGAAAGAAATAACAATATAAAGAGTTTGAAAGAGTGCGCCAGCTGGCTCCTGGGGGGCTCCTCCACTCCCATCCTGGCCTGTAGTGGGTTTCTGGACTCCCCTTTTGTTTCTGGGACAGCGGCAGCCACCGTTCAAGTTCATAGTGCCATGACTGACATACAGTCACTTTATTTTTTTAAAACAAGCTTTTTATTTTGGAATAATTCTGGATTACAGAGTGCGCAGAGTTCCCGAGTACCCCTCCCTGGCCTCCCCGCCTCCATGTCTGAACACGACACCCAGCATATCTGTCCAAACTCAGCCAACACAGGGAAGGCTCTCCCAGCTCCTTTCTGTGGCGCACCTGCCGCGTCATTCCTCCGTCCCAGGGTGCATCCAGGGTACGGTGCTGCTTGGAGTGGACTCACTTTCCATCCAGAACTCACATACCCGTGCAGGAAACTCGGTTTCTGGTTCCTACCCCTCTGCTGGGTGCTGGGGACACAGGACAGGACCTACTCCGATCCTGCCTGCTGGCACGAATGTCCACATGCCAGCAGTGGGTGGGTTGGGATACTGGGAGACCCAGGCTGGCCTGGGTGAATGGCGGGTCCGTCAGTACCAGGCCCGGCTCTTGTGGTGGACAGGTGTGAGAGAGACAGACAAGCTTGGACGGTCACACGCGGTGCTTGCTAGACCTGGGGGAATCTAGGAAAATTCCAGGCCACCCTGGACAGTCAGAGAGCCAAGCTCCCCAGAAGGCCAGAGATAGTGGGGGTGAAGGCCACTTTCTGGGACCTCGGGGCTTGGGGCAAGGGCTCTCGGGGGAGGGTACACAATGTGCAAATCTCTGCCGGCAGTTGTGTGCACACGAGTGTGTTTGTGTGCGTATGTTCAGGTCCAGAACGGACTCCCACGACGTCATCCAGAGCCCAGATAAATGAAGAGGTGGAGGGTGAGATTTACGTGGTATCGAATCCTGCAAGTTTCAATTTTGAGCCATGGACTTTGGGAGCCACCCAAGGTCATAGAGCAGAGGCATGATCTTATCTGAAGTCCATGATAAGCATGGAGATGTATCTGTGGGCTGGGACTTGGGGGAGGTGGGAGACCAGTGCTTTCCTTGAAGAAGACATTCTCAGGATAGAGGGAAGAGAGAGGGTCTTTGAGGGCGGAACAACTGGGGCTGGGACTCTCGGTCCTCCCTTGGAAGGGGAATCTCACGTCCAGGCCCAGACTCCAGCAGGGAGAGGCATCCCCTCTCCGTCTTCTCGGCTGCAGCTGTCTCCCCATCCAGGTGGCCACAGGGGCTGGGGGAAGGGCCTTTGGCCCAGGCTCAGGCCACCTGTCTCAGTCACCTGGTCAGGAAACTCCCCCATCTGTCCCTGTCTTCCTATCACCTTTGTTGTCATCCTCATCATCTGTCCACTCCTCCAAGCTTGATCCTCCTTGCTCCCCCTCTTCCTCCTCTCCATTCTCGTAGGACACACTCCCCAAGGCACCGGGTCCCTCTCTGTTCCCCTCCAAACCCCAGTCATCCCCTAAGAAGTCCAGGACAGTCAGTGGGGGGCTCCTGGTCTCGGGATCCAGGTCCAGAAGCCCCTGCAGCAAGACCAGGGCAGGGGATGCAAACCGGTCCCAGGGTGCTGGTGGCCGAGGTGGCTGGGGCCTGGTGGTCATCCAGCCAGCGAAGGCCTCAAACTCGGGGTCGGGGGCCAGTGCCATGTCCCAAGGGAAACAGGCAGTGGCAGCACAGAAGAGAAGCACCCCCAGGCCCCAGGAGTCCACGACTGGCCGCAGGGGCAGAGTGTCAGGGGGTAGTAGGAGGCAGAGCTCGGGCGGGGCAGTGGGCAGTGGTGTGGGTGGGGCAGGGACTGGGCTGCCCTCTGGCCGGGTCAGACCTAGGTCACCAAGAGCCACACGGCTGCACACAGGGTCGAAGACCAGCACATTGTCCGGCTTGACATCTGCGTGGACCAGGCCCCGGCTATGGAGGAAGTCCAGAGCTCCTGCCAGCTGGGCCACCACCCGCTTCACTAGCAGCTCCGGGAGGCCCTGAGGGAAGGACAGAGGAGGGTGGTTGGGATGTCTTGGTTCCTTCTCTTTCATCCATCCATCCACCTACCCATCCACCAGCACTCAAAAGAGGTGCTAGATACCTAATCCCTGAAGGTTCTGACTCTGAGAATCTGGAATCCAGACCAGTGACTACCTCCAGTGTCCCCACAACACCCTCCCAGGGACCTTTTCAGGACCGTCTTCAATCACAACCCACACCCATGTCTGCACTCTCCTCAACCAACACCCAGTTGTCTCCCTTACTGGGTGGACTCATCTTTCCATCCATCCTTTCAACTTTCTTTTTTTTTTTTGAGTTGGAGTCTCACTCTGTCGCCCAGCCTCGACCTGCTGGGCTCCGGCGATCCTTCCGCCTCAGCCTTCCAAGTAG